TTCCTGATATTTATTGAAGGAGACTGTCTTTTCCTCATTGTTTATTTTTGGCACACTTTGCAGAGATTAACTGTGTGTGTGTGTGTGTGTGTGTGTGTGTGTGTGTGTGTGTACGTGCGTACATACATATATACATACAAGTGGATTTATTTCTGGGATCTCTATTCTATGTGTATATGTGTCTGCTTTGATGCCAGGGCCATACTGGAGTTTCATGGTGTACTCTGAAGTCAGGAAGTGTGATACCCCCCGTTTTGTTTTTCTTTCTCAAGATTGTTTTGGCTGTGTGTGGTCTCGAGGTTCCGTATGAGTTTCAGGACTACTTGCTCTATTGTGAAAAATACCATGGAAATTTTGATAGGGATGACATTGAATCTGTAGATCCCTTTGGGTATTATGGGCATTTTAACACTATTAATCCTTCTAATCCATGTACATGGAATGTCATCATATCATTTATTTGTCTTCACAAGTTATCACTATCTTTCATCAATATATCTTACAGTTTTCAGTGTAGATTGTTCACCTCTGTGGTTAAATATATTCCCTAAGTACTTCCTTTTGATGCTATTGTAAATGGGATTGTTAGTGTATTGCAATGATATTGATGTTTCCTGTGATAATTTTACATTCTTTGTGAAGTTCATTTATTAGTTATAACAGTTTTTGGGTGGAATCTTTAGGATTTTCTATATAAAATAGGTTATCTGCAAAACATTGATGATTTAACTTTTTCCTTTCTGTTTTGAATGGCTTTTTTTCCCTTGCCTCATTGTTCTGGCAAGGACTTCAGTACTCTGTTGAGTAGAAGTGATGAGAGTTTGCTTCCTGTTCTTGTTCCCAATCTTAGAGGAAAAGCTTTTAGCTTCTCACCGTGGAGTATGGTGTTGTGGACTTGTCATACGTGGCCTTTGCTGTGTTGAGGTACATTCCCTGTATTCTCAGTTTGTGGAGGGTTTTTATCCTAAAAGGTGTTGAATTTTGTCTAATGCTTTTTTCTGCATTTATCAAGATGATCATATGATTTTTGTTCTTCATTGTTAGTGTGGTGTGTCACATTTATTGATTTGCATTTGTTGAGCCAGCCTTGCGTCCCAGGAATACATCCTGCTGGCTGACGGTGTAAGATCCCTGTAAGCTACTGTTGAACTTGGTTTGCTAGCATTTCGTTGAGGAGTTTTGTGTCTATGTTCATCAGGGATATTGGCCTGTGATTTTCTTTTTTTGTAATATTTTTATCTTGCTTTGGTATGAGGGTAATGCTGGCCTTGTAGAAGGAGTTTCCCTGCTATTCCGTTTTTTTGGAAGAGTTTGAGAAGGATTGGCATTCTTTTTGAAAATGTTTGATAGGCCCTGGCCAGTTTAGCTCAGCGGTTACAGCGTCGGCCTACAGTCCAGAGAGACTCGGGTTCAGTTCCCACTAAGGGCATGTACCTCAGTTGCAGTTTGTCCCCAGCCCTGGTTGGGTCATGCGGGTGGCAGCTACTCGATGTGTCCTTTTCACGTCGATGGTTCTCTCTCTGCTTCTCTTCCTCTCTCTCCCTCCCACTCTGTCTGAACAAAAAATAGAAAAATGTCCTCAGGTGAGGATTAAAAAAAAATATTTGGTAGAATTCACTTGTGAAGCCACCTAGTTTGGGGCTTTTCTTTTTGGGAGGTTTTTGATTACTGCTTCAGTTGCTTTACTTGTTACTGGTCTGTTCAAATTTTCTTTTCTTCATGATTCAGTCATGGTAGGTTGTATGTTTCTAGGAATTATTCAGTATTTATAGGTTATCTAATTTGTTGGTGTGTAATTGTTGTTAGTAGTCTCTTATGAACCTTTATATTTCTGTGATATGTAATATCTTCTCTTACATTTATAATTTTATTTGAATTCAGTTTTTTTCTTGGTTAGTTTAGCTAAATGTTTGTCAATTTTATTTATCTTTCCAAAAACCAACTCTTGGTTTTATTGATCTTTTCTATTGTCTTTCTAGTTTCCATTTTATTTCTGCTCTAACCTTTTTTATGCCTTTCCTTCTGTTAATTTTGGGCTTAGTTTTTTGTTCTTTTTTTTTGTTCTTTTTTCTCAAGGTGTAAAATTAGGTTGTTTATTTGAGATCTTTCATTTTTCTTAGTGTAGGCATTTATCATTATAAACTTTTCTCTTAGAACTGTCTTTGCTGAATCCCATTAAGTTTTGGTAGGCTGTGTTTCCATTTTCGTTTGTCTCAGTATACTTTCTGATTTCCCTCTTGATTTCTTCTCTGACCATTGGTAGTTCAGGAGTATGTTGTTAAATTTCCAAATACATCTGAGAATTTTCTCATTTTCCTCCTGTTACTGATTTCTAGTTTCATGCTACTGTGGTTGGAAATATATCAGTTTAATTTACTTAAATTTAAGACTTGTTTTGTGGCCTAACATATGATCTAACCTGGAGAATGTTCCATGTCTGCTTGAGAAGAATTTATTTACTGCTGTTGGGTGGAATGAGCTTTGTCTGTTGGTCCATTTGGTCTATAATGTTGTTCAGGTCCTGTTTTCTTATTGGTTTTCTGTCTGGATGATTTATCCATTGCTGAAAGTGGGGCACTGAAGTCCCTACTATTATTGTATTGCTTTTTATTTCTCTCTTTAGTTCTATTAATATTTCCTATATATATATTTAGGTGTTCCAGTGTTGGGTGCACATATGTTTACAGTTGTCATATCCTGTTGATTAATGGACCTCTTTATCATGATGTAGTGACCTTCTTTATGTTTCCTGACAGATTTTGATGGAAAGTCTCTTTTGCCCATCTAGTTACCTCTGCTCTCCTCTGGTTATCGTTTGCATCAGCCCTCTTCTCCCATCCTTTCACTTTCGGCCTGCGTGCTTCCTGAGAACTAGGCCGGTCTCTTGTAGGCAGGCCATTGTTGGATCTCATTTATTAAAACAAGTTTTTTTCTTTGTTAATCCTCACCCAAGGATATTTTTCCACTGATTTTTAGAGAGAGAGAGACAGACAGACATCAATGTGAGAGAGACACATCGAGTAGATCGAGTAGTTGCCTCTTATACAACCCCACCTGGGACCGGGGATCAAATCTGTAACGCAGGTACATGCCCTTGACCGGGAATTGAACCTATGACCCTTCAGTCCAGGGTCTGACACTCCAACTGCCGAACCAAACCTGCTAGGACTATTCAAAAAAAAATTTTTTTTTAAATTCTCACCTGAGGACATTTTTTCATTTTTTGTTCAGATAGAGCGGGAGAGAGAGAGAGAGAGAAACATCGACATGAAAGGGACACATCGAGTGGCTGCCTCCTGCACGACCCAACCAGGGCCGGGGACAAACTGCAACCGAGGTACATGCCCTTTAGCGGGAACCGAACCCGGGTCTCTGGACCGCAGGCTGATGCTCTAACCACTTGGCAAACCTGCCAGGGCTTTTTTCAAAGTGTTTGTTAAAAAAAAAAAAAAAAAATTCTTTTTTCAATGTTTGGTAGAATTCACCCGTGGAGCTCTCTGGGGCTGGGCTCTTCTTTGTAGTTTTTAAATTACTCATTCAAATTCTTTACTTGTTAAGTCTAGTCAAATTTTTTATTTCTTCTTGAGTCAATGTTTGGTAGTTTGTGTCTTTCTAGGAACTTGCCTGTTTTATCTTACTTAGCTAACTAATTGGTATGTAGCTAATGGATTTCCCTTATACTACTTTAAAAAAACAAACTAATAGTTTTTTTACATGAAATATTCCCAACTCACAGAAAGGAAATCAACTGCCAGTCAATAAGTGTTAATATTTTCCTAGATGGCTATAGAATTATTAAAGAAATATAAGAAGACATTAAAGAAATAAAACGTTGTGTTAGTTGAAGCCTACTTTACATCCTCCACCATCCGATTCCTTTTCTTTCCAGAAGTACTGTGAATCTTGAGATGAGTCCTCACCACCCATGTTTTTATACTTTATATATAGAAACACACACAGCATCGATGTTTTAAAATGTTACTTGAATTATGTAGGCTTCAGGCTATGCTTTCCTTCCCCTCAGCATTTCATTTCGAGATTCTTTTACATTGTCGTATTGGACTTAGGTCATTTACTTTAGTTGCTGTGTTTAAATGCTCTCCAGATGAAAGGCAGATGGGCTGCTTTCAGTGTTTCCTTCAGTACCAGTTCTTGCCAGTGATCGCCTTTGTGCGTGTGTTTCTCAAGGGAGCATACCAAAGGCTGAGTTGCCGAGTCAGAGAGTGTGTGTCTTCAACTCAGTAAGATATTGTAAAACTGTTCTGTGACCCTTGGGCTTTCGGATGCGCTCAGGTGGCCCTGCAGCCCCAGCCTAGATAGGTGGGGTTTCATTATGAGTCCGGTCAGTGGGGTTCATTGAAGGTGCCCCAGTCTTGTAATCCAGGTTCTGGTTGGCTATAAACTAGTCAGCGCTGTAATGTGACCTGGCCGGTGTGTCTCAGTGGTTAAGCATTGACCCATGCACCAGAGGTCACCCGTTCGATTCCGGTTTAGGGCACGTGCCTGGGTTGTGGGCTCGATCCCCAGTAGGAGGCATACAGGAGGCAGTTGGTTGATGTTTCTATCTCTGTGTCTCTCTCTAACTTTCTAAAAATCAATAAAATGTATTTAAAAATAAATAAAAACTGTAACATGGATGCTCTTAACCTTGTGTAGTTTTTACAATGTGTGAGATTGAGGAGACTGGAGACACACCCAGTTGGGGTGAACTTCATGACTGACATGAAATAAGTCAGCCAGTTAGTGGAATTGGTAATGTGTTTGAACAAAGACAACACGTTGTATGTACTGAGTCTATAGAAATGGTCTGGGTTCTGGCGTGTTAGAGCTTGGTCTGAAATTCACACTCTTCTTCCTTTATAATTTCAAGCATTTCCCCCTCTCTGTCCTTAGTTGCCACATCTGTAAAATGGGGTTGATAAGAGTTCCTAGCTCATAGGCTTGTGGCTAAATGAGGTTATACATATGAAGTGTTTGGCACAGGGCCTGGCATCTGGTGGCACTGAAGGAGCTCGCTGCTGTCCCACCCTTCTGCCTCGTTTCATTCCCAGGTCTTGGCACCATGTACAGGAACGTGGGGAGAAGGTAAGGAGCACGTGGTCGAGCACCTGTTCTTTTTTTGGTCTTCCAGTTGTAGCTTCTGTGTCTCTAGTGAATGTGATGCCCTGGTCCACTCTGCAAGTTGCTTCACAGACAACTTAAGAAAATAAGGGTATGTGTTTCAATAGTTTTGCAGACCTTTTCAGGTGCGGAAAGAAGTCTTGTAACCTCACTTTGTCTAGAGAAATTCGTGTGCAGAAAGCTTCGCTTGCCATTCCACGTAGTGTGACCTGGACTCCATCCAGCTGTGGGTGAGAAAACACTGCAAAGCTTTCAAAGGCCTATATTTGAGCCTTTGATGGGAAATACTTTATGTTCTTAGCTGTCAGCCTGGATAAAACCCCCTCCCTCCTCACTATCAATCAAAAACTTCTTCTTTGGACAGGACAGTGCCTGCATGTGGTTGCTTCCGAGTCTCCTGTACAGCACAGCAGTGAGAACACTGGTCACCTCCCGCTAGGCCGTCTGCAGCGGCGTCCCTCCTGGAACGATCTGTCACACGGTCCTTCCAGGGGAGGGACTAAAACAGTGGATGAGTGTCCTTGTCTTTTGTCTAACTATACAGTGTGGGTTTAGTTTTAATAACTTGTAATTAAATTAGCAGAAGAGATTGCCAGTATGTCTGGATGGTTTTTTTTTTGTTGTTTTTTTTGAAATTTACTGTCCCTCAGAAATGGAAGGTATTTGTAGATGGGGTGAAGGAATGGTCATTCGGTGATTTGGGAAATCGTCAAGATTATGTGCACACGAGTGTTGGTGACATGTAGTTTACATCCATCCTGAGGTTGGTCCTGTGTTTTATCGTAGCGTCACTCTAGCTGTCATTCGATCCAGCCATCACTAAGTGGGTAGGTGTGCTTGCATTTATGAAAGCTTTGGGATTCGCCTCAACTCCAGAGCAGACTGCTGTAGCGGGCTACCAAGATGCTAAGTGATGACTGTGCCCAGTATCTGAACAGCTTCCCCAGGCCCGGTATTTCCCAGTGCAGACAGCCATCTGCAGGAGGTTGGCGGCCCTCTGAGGACTGGGACCCTTGCTTGCCCAGCTGTCTCCTACCTCTCCAGACTCAGCACTTCCTGTGTGGATTCTGTCCTGTAGCCACACCCCAGCATCTGGCCCACAGCCTGGCAGAGCAAGGCCTCACTTTAGCCAAAATCTCTCGTTAACGTTGACCTCACCCAAGCGGCTTTCTCTGCTTGGAATGTCCTCTCCATGTCCCAACACCATCTCTTCCTGTTCAGTCCCTTTCTGAGCGCCCTCCGACATCATTTTCTCTCTGCGAGGGCAGGACCTTGGCTGGTCAAATGTGATGTTATAAATGTTTCAGGACCTTGGCTGATCATATGTGATGTTATAAATGTTTTATCTCCTTAAAAGCATCGTCTACCTCCTGGTCTGTTGAGGCCGCTCTCTTAGTCTCTAAGTGTCATGGATAATGAACATTTTGTTGTATTTAGGCAATCAGTGATTTTTCTCTTCCTGTGGTTGATACAACACCCATTTTCCTAACCCGATATTGCTATGTAATATATGGTTGTCAGTCAAGGTTACTATAGTATTTTATTTCATCAAAGAAGAAGGAAAATAGAATACTGTTCTCCTCAAATCTATTTTAACCATGGGCTGTTGGGTTGAAAATGAAGTGTTATCTTACCAAATAATACTCAATAATAATAAAGACCCTTTTGTATGCGCTATAAAAATATCTCACATAAAGAGTTGCTTTTGAAACTTGGCTAAATTGAAGGATTATCTGGGTCTTTCAGGAATTATTTTGGAGGTGCAGTTGTTACTATCAAAGCGTGAGTCAGTCTCCACTGTGACATTTTATCTCCACCGTGTATGTATGTATCAACCCCGAGGGGAACTACTATTTGTGTTTTGTTCAGTGTTTCCTTATGATATGGAAGAAAAAACATGATGATTTTGGTGTAAATCTTGCCAGGTTCAAGTTCAGCCAGTACCTGTTTCTGTTCTGTGTCCCTGGTCCTGGGTTGGGGGAGGGTGGCTCATCTGATGTGTGATGTACAGAACCCGTGCTGAGGAGTCCACATGTCTGCTGTGACATGTGTTCTAAAGGTGGTGTCTCCTCCCAAACTCTCCCCACCACACCCCACTGGTCTGCAGTGGCTCTCCTGACCCTTAGGATGTCTTTTCTCTGCATAGCAAGAATCATAATACATCAAAATGTTTTTTATTTGAGACACAAAAATGCAAAATTGCTGAGATATCAAACATTTTCCGACCCGCTACAATACTGCCACTATGTACAAAAGATCTGATGATAAATGTGCACACATATAAAAATACAGTCTGCATTACCTATGTACAGTACATGTGCAAAACGTATGGCATTCAAACATGATATGGAATTGATTTCAGGGGTGCAAACAGCAAATACAAAGGCATCATGGTTTTTCTTTAAAAAAACAACACAAAGGCAATACATGAATGGACCCCCGACTGCCATAATTTTTTGTTTCTTAAATGAGTGCTTTCATAAGCAGGGCTCTGTAGATTGGTATTTTCTCCTTTTTTTCATAAAGTGAGATGCTAAGACATAATGTGACAATGAAAATAAGAAGAGAAACACCTATCACATTGCATTTCTATTGCAAGCAAGAAAAGAAAACTAATTTGTATATAGAAAGGAAAAACTTTGTAATACTACTAAATATGTACTATTCCTAAATCAACAAAACAAATATATACTATTTTACATGAAAACAATAGAGAAATATCTACACCTTTGTGAAAATTATAACCTTAAATGGATAATACATTTTTGGGACTGATTTTTGAGATCTCATTAGTCTCAAATTTTAAATAAAAAGTGCCTCCTTTTGGCAAATACTTGGCAATGCCTTTGGTTCCTTTAAAGCAAGTCTGCATTACTATTGGTTACTTAAGGTTAAGTACTTTTGGTAGATACTAAACCCTTTCCTAAATGCTCTTCCTCCTACCAAATCAGCAAGTTTTCTTACAGCATAACGTAGAGGTAATTGTTCAGCGTCTCAGTGATTCATGAACGTGGTTAAAGCTTTGTCTTAGTAGTTGGCACAAAGCTCTGTTACACAACAGCTGTGTCCATATCGCCAGTGACATTTTATTTGATTCCAGACAGCACCTTGTAGCTCTGAGATTGCCATCCTGTTGTCACCAAAGTGTGATATTTTCCCATAACGATTCAGAGCAATGTGTTTGTGTGGAGGGTTAGAGCACTTTTGTAAACATGTGCAGCTTTTTGAATTACAGGCCTCAAAGATTTCCGGTGACACCTTTGCAGGGATGCATTTCCTCAGATGCTATGAAAGAAGGGCGAGTGGGGAAGAAACATACAATGCCATGCAGACAGTCACTTCACGTGTAAGAAGGTAGCCTGAAAGATCACTGAGCAAGATACCCAAAGTTTGAGAAGAAATTACTGCATCTGAATTTCCAGTTTTGACTGAAGCCACTTAAAAGATGAGCTGAAATGCAGTTAGGATGCTCTCCAAATACACACATCTGTCTGCACTTGTAAGCTGTGTTTCTTTCTTTCTTTCTTTCTTTTTTTTATCCTCACCCGAGGACATTTTTCCATTTTTTTGTTCAGATGGAGAGAGAGGAAGAGAGAGATAGAGAAACATTGATGTGAAGGGACACATCGAGTGGCTGCCACCCGCACGACCAACCAGGGCCGGGGACAAACTGCAACCGAGATACGTGCCCTTAGCGGGAACCGAACCCGGGTCTCTCCGGACCGCAGGTCAACGCTCCAACCGCTGAGCCAAACCGGCCAGGGCTAAGCTGTGTTTCTTGATAAACCTGACCTTCCAGTTAATGTTTTTTGATAATTTGGGCTACCTTTGTGGCCTCCAGAGCAGTGGAGAGTCTGTTTGGTATTCTGCTCTGTTGCCGTAGCCAGGATCCGGGTTTGCAGTGTGGATGGCAGAACGGAGGGTTATTTGTGAATGTGGTTAAATGAACCTGTGCTGCTGGGCTGGGAGACACCCAATAACTAAAGTTCTCTCAAGTCCCCATTGGTGCTGGGTGCTCCCCACTTTCCCCATGGACCGACAGCAGCCTGGGTGAGGCCTGCTGCCAGAGAGCTTTACCACCTCCCTGCGGCCAGTAGGGGGACTGTCCCATCACTTGTGGGGACAGCTGTTTTGGCTGATCAGCCTGGGAATTCTAAATGGGCTGAAGAGAGCTATGTGGCCTGGAATGATCTGGGGTTGAGGGTAGAGGAAGCCCGCGTCAGCTCTGGTGACGGAACAGGTGACAGCCCTGCTGCGGCTCCCAGCGTCGCTGACTGCACAGTTCCGCCGCGCTCTCCTATTACAGGACTTTGCCTACTGTCGGCGGCAGTTGGAGGCAACACCAGACTGTCTTTTCACTGTTTTTAAACTGCACTTACAAACGTGTCAGTTACATGGGCCACAGAGCTGTGCAGCTTTTAAAAAGGAAATTTAAATAAGATCTCTTTAGTATTATAAAAATATTCATATAAAACACACACAAATAGTATCTGAACGAGAAATTCCACTAAATTCAGAATACATCTATGTGCAAATACGTGGCAAATATATACAGTAGATTGCACATTTCAGGAACGTGAACCACTAACAGTGTCCCTAAGGTTTTCTAGCACATGCTTTGCTGAAATGTACAAGATGACCAACCCCCCCCTAGACTTCCCAAGACACGTAGAAGCTTTGGTATAACCTTCTGTGCATTCCACCCCCATGATATGACCTGACACTTATATACACTAGAAAGGTAAGCTTGATACTACTGTGTTTCAGGGAAATAAGACTGGATGTGAGATAATACGTTTCCAGGGGTTGCTTTCTTGGCAGCAGGACATTCTGCAAGATGATCTGTAGCAGTACCACCTCCATACTGCACACCTGCACACTGAAAACCCAACAGGCTCTTCTGGCCTCGGCTCAAATGGCTGTGACCCTCACCTCAAACACCACAATAGTCCTCTGTGGCAAACACACTCCTTTCCCACTGCGTTCACCTTTAAGTACCCTGAGTTAGGGCCGAGGAGCCTTGATTGCAAAGTGTCATCTTTGGTCACGTCACATGCTGCACATGGTCAGTGTCCTCACTCTAAGCTGGAACATGCAGCTGGGACCCTGGAGAGCAGCACAGGTGCCCGGCAGGTGGGCCCAGTGCGAGTAGGTGGCTGGTGGACTTGGTAACAGCGACTCCTTACCTTCCTTCCTCTGAAAGGAAATGCTGGTGCATAAAGATCTGAACACAGATGGAAAATGGACACGTTAGCAACACAGTCGAGAGAGAGCAGCTAACGGTGGCGGCCTGTGCACAGCAGTGTGTGTGTTTAGAGAGCAGCCTTCCTGGGGTATGTTTCAAACCCTATTTTTAAGAAGCAACGAGGGAACCTGAGGACTAGGAAAGGACCTATGTACACAACTCGGAAAGATGGAAATAGAAGTTATTCAACGACAGTCAGCAGCACTAGCTGTTCAGTTGCCTTCTACAGTCACACTGATATTTGGTGCTAATTTAAAAAGCCATTTAAATCAGAATAAAGAGGATGCTTAGAGCCCAAGTATGGACCAGAGAAGCTCCATTGCTCTAAGGAAGTACCTTTCCAAGTCCAGAGCCCTGCCATCCCCCCTCCCCCCAGAGGGGCCCTTTCGACAGGAAATGACTCGAAGACGCATGCGTGCCACAGGGCGAAGTGCTCGCTGGGCTTGGCTGAGTGGCCGCCTGGAGCCCTCGGGCGCTGCGGGCTGGGCAGTGTCCGCTAACAGAGGGCTCCAGTGCTCTGGGTGACAGAATTCTGGAAAGACGGACTTTTCTTACATGTAGTGAAATTTACAAACTGAAGCAAACATTTAAAGATCAGCTCTTAGGCAAAACAGAAACCCAGAAATGATTCACAAGTTCTTTTCAAATAATGGGTCAGGTTGCTTCTACATGTCACTGTGGGAACAGGCACCGTTGGTGACCCAGAGAAGCAGCCTGACCCCAGGGTTTACGCAGGTGAGGTGGAGAGCATGAGAGAATTATTTAATGAAAACCTCCACACTTCTTGGTAGATTTCAGGTTTTTTTTTTTTTTTTTTCAGTTATATACATTTTGTCATATACTTTAATGACTATTTTGAAATAATTTTGGAAATCCTGTGATAGTTGGCATTTTAGAAAATTCTTAAACTACTCAACAAATGTGGTAACTTTTAGTCTATATAAAAAACTAACAAAACCTCCAGTTTTCTGGTCTTCAGCTTGATGATACAGTGTGAGCTCAGGTATGACATCCAGTTCCAAGCCTGTAAAACGATGAGCAGGAATAGCAACAGAGAAGAGAACAGCCAGAGCTGGAGTCCAGAGGCCAACTCGGTGACAGTCTAACCTGTAACCATGGGGGAATGTCCTGGGAACAAGAGACTTTTCCCTTGCCTTCGCTTTGCAACTCACCAGCTCAGAAAGATATTTTACATTAAAGCCTTTTCTTGGTTCTTTGAGATGGGTCTGGTTACCTGAAAGTTAGTTCTTAAAATATGGAAATACATGTGGCTCAAGTACTCTAGAAATATTTGAGTTGCTAAAAGAAGCAGGGCCACTGGATACCCAATGAAGAGTGTACATATAAATGTCTGGTTCATACATTAAATCTACCTGATCAACCCAGAGGGTTGCTAACAAATTTTGGTGTTCTCAATAGGCCTGCACTTTTTACAGGGGATTATGACAGTATTTTGAAGACATTGTCTGGTTATGGTGAAAGAACTTCCATTTAAATTTAAATCTGGAAATCTAAAGCAAGATTCCAAAAATCACAAAATAGAGTACAACACACAAAAAAAATTACATTGGTTTCTGAATGGAACCAAAAGTCTTCAGCTGGAAGCTGTCACGGGCCTGGCTGCTGCTCCTGCTGCCTTTGCTCCCTGCTGCATCACGGCTGGCGCAGGCCATTTCTAGAAATACATGTGCGGTGACCTCTCACCTCTCACACCAGCATTCTTGTTTGATTGCAGCTGTCTGCCTTGTATTTAGGGCCTGAAAGTGACCACAGAGGTTTAAATGTAGTTGATTACCAGAGAATCCTCATGTTTTTACCCTGCGCACATTACTCTCTATGTTTTTATCTAAAGGTACTTTTCATTTTTTACTGAAGTCTGGAGAAACAGATGTCTTCTTGACTAGTGGTTTTTCAGAAGGCCCTGTGCTCTATTTAAACTGCAGACACTCACTGCTGGATGCAATGAAATGTTCTCAAATTTGGTTTCCAGGCTGTGACCATCTATCCATTCTTCCTGTGACAACATATTTTCATTGCAACTATGGGTCTGTCTCTAAAAACTGACCTTTTAGAATCATCATCTTAAACCTCGTGAGCTCAGATGAGAAACCTGACGTTAATCCCACGGCAGCGGCAGGTCTTGTGGATCTAGAAAGTCGGCGGAGAACATGCTTGGGGCAGCGGTGCTGAGAGGAGTGAGTCCTGACGATGTGTTAGGCATGGTGATGTCCAACCACTCCATGTTGTCCAAGTTTGAGTCAGAGAGGTCAAGGGACAGACAGGGAGTGCTTGCAGCAAACTGGGCCTCGGAGGTCTCCATGGGTGAGTGTGAGTGGTCCAGCACGCTCGCGTGACTCAGCAGGTCGTTCTGGAGGTCCTCGATCAGGGAGAAGGGCTCTCTGTCCTCACTGCTGCTTTGGAGTGGCGTGATTTCAGTGGCTGAAGGTAAAGTCCCATCCAAGAAAGCTTCTAGTTGGTTCTCTAAACTGGCAGATAAACTGCTCATAGGTTCTAAGGATACAGGTGGTGCCAGGTGGACTTGGGGTGGTGGCCGGGACACCACTGTGTTTAGGGGCATGGTGGTGACGCTGGCTGTCACTGGTCTCATCTTGGAAATAGGAGAAGGCTCTTCCTTTATAGGGAGGGAAATCTCTGCAAAATAACATAAGTTAGTAAAGATTTACTACTATTTAAAATTTTTATTAATTACTAAGATGGTTATTTTGGGATGACTTAATACACAGTCCATCTTAGGGATAGGAAGAGAATGCTGTATTGGTCCTTGATAACCTTTGGGATGATGGACCATTTTAGCTAAATAAACACTTATGTTTATCACATTCTGATGTGCTTTCAGTTCTTTTTTAATTGCTTTAAAAGCAATTCTATCCTGCCAGGAGTTGATGGTTTTAGATGATCTGATCACGTCCTGTTCTCGGTCATTTCAGGTTCAGGATGGGGCTCGGATCTCACTGTCCATGGATGTGCTATCGCAGCACATCACCTCAGAAAGAGCTAATTATATTTTTTCATTTTTTATCATCATTGTTGAACTGTGCACCCAGTTTATTCATATACATTCTATATAAAGTAATGAAAAAGACAATGCCATCGTATATCATTTCTGAAGTAATGCTAACACGTGGATCACCTTATTTTTCTCACGTTTTTGTCATGTTTTCTGGGTTTATATAAAATCTTGAGGATTTGGTAAATGTCCAGACTATGTAGCAAATTAATGAATCACCTGCTACAGATACCAGTGTTCACTTATCTTTTAAAAAGCATATTTTTCATTCTTTTATGAGTAGCTGATTCAGTTTCATTTATATGCCGATACACTGAAAAACTGAATAATAACTCTTACAACACAATGATGGGGTGCATAATTGGGCGAGAGAAAACACTGATTTGATTTCTCTACGTAAACTGTCAACTGTGTGCACAGTGTGTGTTTTCAGGGCAGTTTGTTACTTTTCATTATCTGTGAGTGATCTCTAGACTTGTTTTGAAAGTGCAATATAAGTAATTAGTCTTATAATCAACTATTTAAATATCTGTTCTCATTATTGGTATTAGTTCACAATAAGATGAAATAATATACGCATTAGCTGCTTTGCCATAAAAAAGCATTCCTTTTTGAAAATAACTCAATTGTTCAATGACTATATCACATTTTAATTTCCAAGTTTAGGCTGTAAAAATTATTCTTTTTAATCACCTAAAAATGCTAAATTCAGGGCATGGGATGTCTGTTTCTCTAATTTCCATGGTTTATTTTGCAAGGCCAATTATAAAAAAAACAAAACAAAAAACTATTCACACCTATAGATCTGTCACATGTCAAGAGTTTTCTATATTATGCCAAACATTCTGACAAGATCATTAAAGTAAAAATCAAACAGTACCTGGTATGAAGGGAGAAATCTTGATAACTTGTTAAAAATCTGAATAAAATTCCTTTTACTGGGAAATCTGACTACTTTAAAATATTCCAAAATAGCACTGAATTTTTGAAGTGCAGATTTTATACTTATTTTTCAAAGATAAGTAAACTCAGCAATATCCTTGATTTTTGTGTGTGTGTGGTTTATATCCCTTTTTATTTTGGGGAGGAAATAATTTTTAATGTTTTTTTTTTTGCTTTACAAACACACTGGAGAATCATGTAAGAGAGAGAGATAGAAACATCGATCCCTGACTGGGAATCGAACTGGAACCTCTCAGTCCATGGGACGGCCCTCAATCTGCTGAGCCACACGGGCTGGGCTCCCTTATCCCTTCTTAAGATGACACATTGTAAAATCAGAGATTTTCAGTTATATGTAGGAAGTGGTTTTTTTTTATCTTCACCCAAGGACATTTTCCCATTTTTTGTTCAGACAGAGTGGGAGGAAGAGAGAGAGAGAAACATCGACGTGAAAGGGACACATCGAGTGGCTGCCACCCACACAACCAACCAGGGCGGGGGACAAACTGCAACCGAGGTAGGCGCCCTTAGCGGGAACCAAACCCGGGTCTCTCTGGACCACAGGCCGACGCTCTAATTGCTCAGCCAAACTGGCCAGGGCTGTAGGAAGTGTTTTATAATTACCTTTGAATGTTAATAAAGTTACCCCAAGCTAGGTAACTTGGTTGTTACAAAACTAACTCATGAACTGGAATATTTTTATCCCATTGCAGTGACTGATGCAATATATGGGACATGTTTTGAAGTTTTCAATGTGGAATTTAAATGTCTCCTTTGTTATTTTGAGAGTTTTAGCAGGTATATATCTGTGGGTAAATCTAACATTATCTTACTATTTTAACAAAAAACAATGGCTTTTTCTCCATTTTACAAGTAAGTTGTTTTAATTGCCTAAATGTAACAGATATGAAAACAGTGAATTGAATTAGAAGAATATGGGAGCTCTAGAGGAAAACTTTCGTGAACTTGTGATAAGGGATCAGGGGTCTGATATGACTTTTGACCTACCTCCACTCTTAATGAGGATATCAAAGAGGTCGTCCATCTGCTGACTGTGTGCATTGGAAACCTACAATCAAGGAGAGTATCAATTAGCTTTCTTGCATACAAATCTGGAAGTGGTATACAACTGGGAGCACTAAGGGACCTCACAGAACAGCTAGTTCTAATCAATCACTTGATCATTTTGAAAACACTGAGGTCTCCTGAGAAGTTAAACCGTTTACCCGAAGTGTCACAGCCGGTTAGCTGACAGCCAGAACCGGGCAACCGCCCAGCTGGATTTTACACTGACTTGTACACCGATTGCATTTTTAGAGGCTTCTCATACAATCTAACTAAACGTCAGTATACTTTATACATATCTGCTACATATTTTATACATATATTTCAGTAATTTTTTTTGGTGTGGTATACTGTATAATGGTATGCAATCAGTTTTGCTGTGCTTTGATCTAGGGATAACTCCTGCTTAGACACATACAAAGACAAATTGTGGAAGAAAGTAATCCAAAAGAAGTCTAATTTTATACAGTCTGTCTTCATTAGATGTGTTTTGTGAATTATCACTAAGATGGAAAAATGTAAGAATTTGCTCGAACCTCCTTCTGCTCATAGTTTTAGAAAATATTGCAGCTTCAACCACAGGGTTCGTTGACCAGTAATCCCTCCAATGTGATTTTTCCATTTGTCCCATCAATATCAACAAACCGAGAAACTTCTTTACAAGTTAACTCGTGAGCGGTCAACAATGTGTTAACCTCTGCCATCCTCATTCTGCTAAGATTATAACTTTACATATTTGCTTACATCCCCTATCCTTTCATTATGAATATATTTCCTTTGTAAAAATTATTTTTCAATTACAGTTGACATACAAATATATTAATTTCAACATAGTGATTAGACATTTATGTAACTCACAAAGTGATTCCCTGGTAAGTACAGTACCCATCTGGCAACCATCAAAATTTATCTGTATGAGTTTATTTTGTTTAGATTCCACATATAAATGAAATCATAATATTTATCTTTCTCTGTCTGACTTATTTCACTTAGCATGGATGGATCTACAGGGTATTATGCTATCATGAACGGTAAGCTTTTTTTTTATGGTCAAGTAATATTCTATTACACATATGTATCACATCTTTATCCAAATGCCTATTGATGCCTTGGGTTGCTTCCATATCGTGGCTATTGTAAATGCAGTGAACATAGGGGTGCATACATCTTTTTGAATTAGTGTTTTGGATTTCTTCAGATACCCAGCAGTGGAATTGCTAGATCATTGGCTAATTCTACTTTTTAAAAAAATCCGGTATACTTTTTCAGATAGAGTGGGAGAGAGGGAGAGAAATACATTGATTGGCTACCTCCTGCACGACCCCAAACAGGGCCAGGGATGGAATCAAACCCACAACTCTTTGGTCCACTGGCTGAGGCTCTAACCACTGAGCAAAACTGGCCAGGGCTATTTTTAATTTTTTGAGGTAACTCCATACTGCTTTCCACAGTGGCTGCACCAATCTGTGTTCCCACCAACAGTGCACAAGAGTTCCCTTTTCTCCACATCCTCACCGACACTTGTTGACTTATTGATGATAGCCGTTCTGACAGGTATGAGGTGATATCTCCTTGTGATTTTCACTTCCCTGATGACTAATGATGTTGAACATTTTCTCATGTGTCTATTGGCCATCTGTATGTCTTCTTTGGAGAAGTGTCCATTTAGGTCCTCTGTCCATTTTTTAAGTTGTATGAGTTCCTTATATATTTAGGACATTAGCCCCTTCTTGAATGTATCATTGACAAATGTCTTCTTCCATTCAGTAGGCTGTCTTTTCATTTTGATGTATTCCCATTTGTTTACCTTTTCTTTTGTTTCCCTTGCACAAGGAGACATATTCAAACAAATATTGCTAAGAGTACTGTCAAGAAGTTTAATGCCTAGGTTTTCTTCTATTTTTGTATATGATATAAGAAAGTGGTCTAATATTTTCTTGTATTTGTGTGTCCAGTTTTCCTAAGACTATTGAAGAGACTGTCTTTTCCCCATTGTATGCCCTTGCTCCTCTGTCATAGATTATTTCTGGGTCCTCTTATACTGTTCCATTGATCTGTGTGTCTGTTTTTATGCCAGTACCTTGTTTCCGTCCCTGGAGAGAGCTGCCCCTCCAGCTCTCTCCCTGAAATTAGTCAGTTTAGTTCCTCATTGTATATCCCTGGTGCTTTCTGAGCTGCTGCCCCAGCACAGAAGCTTGAAGTGAGAGTTTGAGTCAAGGGCATAGTCACCTTACGACATATAATATTTCCTAATGCATCAAAATGCTGTCACATTTCTTATTCCCTTCATGTCTCCCAGTACCAGTAGCCAAATGACATGACCATCCCCATTTTACATATGATGACAAAAAATTGGACATTCTAAATGACTTATCCTCGCTTCCACCCCTCCAAGAAAGCAATTGTTAGACTGTCAGAATGAAAGTTCAGATATTTTCCCCTTCTAAATCCTGCCCATAACAACACTGGCCAATTTTCAACCTCTTGTGTGTATATACATATTTTTTTCTTAGAACCAGCTCTAACAACTTCAATTTGAGGATATTGGCTCTCTGCATATTTCCATAATCATCACAACAATAGCTGCCATTTATTGAGTGCTTGAAATCACTAGACCCAATACAAGATGCTTGAAAATGCACTATCTAATTTGATTCTCAAACAACCTTGGGTGGTAGGTAATATTACATGTCTTGAAGAAACAGAGCTCAGAGAGGCCAAGTAACTTTACCTGAGTTCACAGCTGCTGAAAGGGACAGAGATACCATTGGAACATTGATCACAGGACAGTGCTGACAAACTCAGACTGAAAGTAATTGCACAAATTCCTAACTGGGCAGGTTATAGCAGGCAGTCTCATCCCAGCCTATAGCAAAGGTCAGTGTTTACCTGAAGTGAGCCTTGTCCGTTGTTTTCCCACTAAAGGCACAGCCATGGCACCCCTCATTGTTACCTTGTTCCCTGCTATCTGTACCCACCAATGTAAAAGAGGTACACGTTTCTCCATAATTCTTGACCTTTGATTTTAATATATAAAATAAGCTGTAAAACTGCCATTCTTGTGGTGATCAATTTGTAAGTTATAAAAATGTGTAACAAGTATGTTGCATACCTCGAGGTCCTATAATAATGCATATCAATGTGAATAAAACAAAAGCTGCCCTTCTCAGCCCGTAGAGCTCCTGTACCCACATCGTGTGTTCTCTGTGCAGGGCCCTCCTCTCTCTCAACTTCCAGAAATCAACCACCCCATGATCCATCCCACTTATATGTGGAATCTAAGAAAAAAATAAATAAATGAAGACAAATAACCCAGAAACAGACTCATAGGTACAGAGAACAAGCTGTTGGTTGCCAATATAGGAAGAGTTTGGGGGATGGAAATTAAAAAAGTTACAACAAAATGAGTACTGTATTTAGCCCATCCATTTCAATAAACATTTATTTAAAAGACTGAATTATGAGTTATGAGTCCAAATGTATTTTTAAAAATTCTATGGACATAAAAATGGATTATATATAGCAGAATAAAAGGGTTCTGGGTGGTAGGACCATTGGTGATTTTTTTCTATTTTATACTTTTCTGGGATTCCCAAAATTTCTGAATGAACACACCTTTTTTTTTTTACAAACAAGTTCCGCAAAGACTTAAGAGACTAGATGTGAGTAAAATGTTAAGTGAAACGTTAGTAACAATCTCTTTAGGAGCACAGGAAAAACACTGACACCAGATTGTTTCAAAACCAGACACTTCAACATGTCTCTAAATCGACAAGAACTAAGGAGACAAGGTCAGAGCTGACTTAGTTATGGAAAATGAAGAAAAAACTATCAACTTGTGTTTCCTTTAGAGGAGGATCTTATATAGGGAAAACGAAAAGAGGGGCCTGTATAACAGTCAGGTCTATCCAGCACGACCAACCCCTTGGCCCCAGAGGGGAAGTTAAAAGACAAACTTGGAATTTCTGAGTAATTGCAGTTTTCACAGTAAAGGATAGTCTGATTTTAAATAGCCACGAACTTTGTGTTTCTATTGAGGCATGTCCATCCTAGGAAAGGGATTCAATTTGAGGATAACAGACAAAATCAAAGCCACTGGCTTCACTTACCTCTGGAAGAGAGGGCTGGGCGCTGCGTGTCTGCTTGATGGCCTCCTCATAGCGGGGAGGGTCTTTTGTCTTGGGGACGGGGCTCCCAAACAGAGAGTGCTGGACGACAAACTGCTGGGGTGGAGGGGGCGAACTCGGCTGTAGCAAACAGGAGGAGCACATGTCAGCTCGGGGCGGTAAGCTTCCACACGGCCGCCAAATCATGGACCTCCTAAGCCAGTGAGGCCGATAGCACAGGTGGGCCATCTTGTGTGGGGAGGGATGTTTTTACTGTGATAACTGCTAAACTGCCCCTCAACAATGTCACCACGGTATTTTCAGCCATTTCCCCCATGAATGCTGATCTTCAGCCATTCTAAGCTTTGGAACAGTCTGTCTCCAGCAAGCATGTCCCTGCAGGCTTACCTTGCTGGGAGGGTTCGGTCCGTTTTGCAGGGATGGAAGGGGTGCACTTCTGGACTGGAGAATGCCGCTGGATGTCTTGTTAATCAAGGGCTGCTGGACCACTGGAGCAGGTGGTCTCTGATATGAAAGAACTGCATTGGATGCCGAGCTTGTGAAAACCTGTAATGAGTAAACGTTTTCCCATCAGTTGTCCTTTTGCTCTTCCTACTAAAGAGAACCATGTTTTTAAAATGGGTTGGCCAACGTTTTTCTGCAAAAGGCCAGAGTATAAAGATTAGGGTTCGCGGGCTGTACTTGTGGTGACCGCTCACCTCTGCTGTAGTGCAGCAGTAGCATGGACAACACGTAAATAAATGCATGGGTGCGGTTCCAATACAGCTTCATCTACAAACACGGTTTACCACCATGATCTTCGAGTGTAAGTGGTCCCCTCTGCTCAGTCTTTGATGGCAGTGTGGACAGTGCTTTGTGGGAAAGCAGCATTTCCTCAGCATAATGTCCCTTGTAAATGACAGCCGAATTTCTTGTTCCCCACTAGGGTGACTGCATCTACTCTCCTGGCTTTAATGTTCATGATGAATCTAGTGATCCCCAAGCTCACCTCTCTCTTCCAACCTTGCTCCCAAGTGCCAGAGCTACATTTACAAACATAAATTTAGGATATCTCAAATGTAATATATTCCAAACTAAACTTTCTTTTTTCCTTCCACCCCCAGCCCCTGAGGGAAAGTAATTCCTGGTTTTGCCTTCATATTTTTTTAAACTTTAGTAAATGGAGCCACCAGTCTACCCATCTTCCCCCCTCAAAGCTCACACTTCTTAGAAATGATTCTTGGATCAGGCCTCTGTTCTCTGGGGTCCTAATCCAGGTCCTTATTATCCATCGCTAGAATCTTGCCCTAGCCACCTCGCTGTGCCCCCTGCTGCCCCTCCACCACAAGCACCATCTGAGCGCATACCTACCTGTGGAGTTCTGCCGCACCCACTGGCTCCTCTGTCTTTAGGGTAAAAGCTAACCTTGGCTGGTATGCAGACCTTCTTGCTACCTGGCCCTTTTCCATCCTACCCGAAAGACTACACATTCTGTAGCCACATTCAGTTTTCCACTTGCTTTAAAGTTACTCCAAATTTTTGCAAGGCCCCATTTAAAATCTGCCCCCTTCTGAGAAGCTGCCTTCTGTTCCATCAGGCAGAGGAGAGAATTTCTTCTGTGGAACTACAAATTGTTCTGTTTAGCCCCCATAAAGAGCCAAAGGTTTTAGGGCCTTTTACAAATGTATGGCCAGACTACTGATATTGTAACTGTATTTCACAGAACTGGTTTGCTCATAAAAATATTTAATATACTTTATGCCAATAGTATTCTGAGAGAAAAACATATCCATCATTTTTATTATAAATAAACATGAGTATTTCTTAAACATGAAAGTATTTGTGAGAGTGTGTTTTTATTCCTCCACACCAGTGGTTCTCAACCTTCCTAATACTGCGACCCTTTAATACAGTTCCTCAGGTTGTGGTGACCCCCAACCATAAAATTATTTTTGTTGCTACTTCATAACTGTAAATTTGCTACTGTTATGTCTTAGGCGACCCCTGTGAAAGGGTCATTCGACTCCCAAAGGGGTTGCGACCCACAGGTTGAGAACTGCTGCTCCAAACAGTACAACTTCTATAAATGAGTTCTATAAATATATTCCTCACTTAAGAAGTTGAATTTCCTACCCTGGCTGTTTTGGCTCGGTGGTTAGAGCATCGGCCCGTGGACCAAAGAGACCCGGGTTCGGTTCCCACAAAGGGCAGTTTGTCCCCGGCTCCGGTTGGGGTCATGTGGGTGGCGACCAGTCAATGTGTCCTTCTCACATCGATGTTTCTCTCTCTCTCTCTCTTCCTCCCTTTCCCCCTCCCCCTCTATCTGAAGATAAATGCAAAAAAAAAATGTCCTCAGGTGAGGATAAAAAAAAAAAAAGATGTTGAATTTCCTAATATATGTTTAAAAAAAAAATTCTTGTCTGGCCGGTGTGGCTCAGTGGATTGAATGTCCCAGTTCAATTATTCCTGGACAGGGCACATGCCCGGGTTGTGGGCTCCATCCCCAGTAGGGGGCGTGCAGGAGGCAGCCGATCAATGTTTCTATCTCTTGTCGCCTTTCCTTTCTCTCTCTCAACAATCAATAAAAACATATTTTAAAAAAATTTCTTCCTTTAAGTTGGAAGTAATGATTCCTAATTCTAGTATTTTGAGATTCAGTAAGTCCTTATTTATCCTGTCTAGATAATGTTTTTCTCAACGTTTGAACATTCACTAATGTTATCACTACATTAAATGTTATTTTGAGCCCAAACCTAAGTAATATGCAACTAGAACTGCATTTTTCAGAGTAGAGTCCAAAGAGAGCACATTGTTAACGTGTTCTGACCTGAGAGACCATTTCTGTCTGTCCCTCAAGTTGTCGCCGGCCAGATAGCTCACCCCACCCTGGGGCATACTACAGGCCCATCTAATTAGCTAGGTTCCTTTATGTAGAAGATGGAAACTCGGAGACTAATACTAACTCTCAAGGTTTGTAATAGTAAGACCTACTTTTGAGGCCTTGGGATTTTCTGGAAGGAGATGTGCACACAGCTCCACCTACTGGATGGTGGGAACTCTAGAGGACACTGAGCCCTAGATCCACACCGTGATTTTAAAGATGAGGAAACTGACACTCAGAAAAAAAGACAGCTGTGTGTAAGGCCCACCACACAGGTGAGCCAGAATGATAACCAGACCCAGGCCTTCTGGTTAATCCATTTTGAGGTGGCAAACTCAAAATATAGAAAGATATTACTCAATGCCCTGGCTGGTTTGGCTCAGCGGTTAGAGCTTCGGCCCTCAGACCAGAGTTGTGGGTTCGATTCCAGTCAAGGGCACGTACCTCAGTTGCAGTTAGGTACACAGCCCTGGTTGGGGTCATGTTGGGGCCAACCAATTGATGTCTCTCTCTCTCTCTCTGTCTGAAGATAAATGGAAAAATATCCTCAGGTGAGGATAAATAAAAAGATATTACTCAAGAGACACATTTCAGAAGGTGTCTTTTTCATCTTTTAAGTTCTCTTCCTAGAGAACAGCACTTTTCCCCCTACAAAAATGGTTTATTTAAGAGAAATTTATTTTAGCCCAGTAGGTGTAGCTTACTGGTTGAACGTCAACCCATGCATCAAGAGGTCGCAGGTTCAATTCCCGGTTAGGGCACATGCCCAGGTTGTGGGCCTGATTCCCAGTGGGGAGCATGCAGGAGGCAGCCAGTTGATGTTCTCTCTCAGTGATGTTTCTAGTGCGCGCGCTCTTTCTCTCTCTCTCTCCTTTCCTCTCTCTCTAAAATCAATAAAGAAAAAATATTTAAAAAATAATTTATTTTAAACCCCCTTAAATTCTATATATGAAGATTGAAGCCATACCTTTGAAACTTTTACATAGAAAAGGAGTTTAACTATTAAGACAAGCTACCTTTTAGTAATAAAGAACTCTTTCCCAAATAACTAGATAACGTACAGCCCAGTGGCATCTGACCTGAGGCTCCCGTGATGGGGGATGGATTGTAGAAAGAACCAAGTGAGCTACCCAGAGGAGGCTCCTGTGAAGATGCGGAGTGGCTGAGCAGATCAGTGTACCAGTCAGCACTTGTCTGTCACCTGTTAGCATTCACCAACCTTTCTGACTTGCTGCGGCTGACTGAGCACGTGCGGTGTGAATGTGCCTGGCTGCTGAGGTCCAGTCTGGGCCAAGCCTGAGGACAAGGTGGTAGTCGCTATCTGAGGCTGAGTCTGGACTCCTGCTTGTGGTGGAGTCTAGGAGGCAAAATAAAATAAAATAAAATAAAATAAAAAAATAAATAATTAATTAATATAATTGTTAGAATCAAAAGTTAGATGTGGGATGTGGAATAACCAGTCATTTGGGGATCATATCTGAAATGAAGATAAAATGTTTATAGATACACACTTCAATCATGGGCACCTAAATTTGAGCCTTAACAATTCTAGACCATAGTTAAACACCAGAGCAGTTATTTTCATGCTCTTACTATTCCTTAAGTAGTTAAGATGTTTATTTGAAAAATCTGTGAAAATAGAAAACTGAAATAAGAACCCGTAGCAGCTCTACACCCAATAGGTCAGGTGTTACAATAGTTATAAGAGCAGCAAGGAAATCCGTGGGGCCTAAGCGTCCAAATCCCTGCACTGAAGCTGCAGTACGTCCACTCTCTGGGGATAGTCAGCCATGTGCCAGCACACACAAGCCCAGAATGAAATGTGGTTCTTCTCCCAGAATATCAACTCTTGTGGAAGATTTCTTGTGGAAGAAAGAAGTTTAGAAAAGCTACATTAAAGAGCAGTCTTTCCATTTCACAGACACTAAAGATTAACACGGGAATTGGATTTTCAAAGTGCCAAGGACCTGTGTGTCATGCTCCCTAACCCCAGGGAAGACTGCTAAGGGTGTCTGGGTAGTCAAGGCTGAGGAGTATTCCTGTGGCCCACATTTCATTAAAACCTATGGAAATCACATTACATAAAAACAACTTAAAGTCAAGGTTATGTGGGCATAAAAAGAAATTCCACCAGTAACAACGCTCTCAACGTCCTCAGGAACATCCTCACTCCTAACTTCTGTGGTCGCCTTTTCCTCAGTGTAGGCATCTTTGCATTAATGGTGCCTTTCAAAGACAACATCTGGGAGGCAGAATATAAGAGTGAACATAAGAGTAAAAGCTCTGGAATCAGAAAGCTGAGGTTTAAACACTAGAACTGTCCTTGGGCACCTTGCCAAATTTTCAAGGGCCTCAGTTTCCTTACATATAAGTGGGGTTTATTACTTGGATCTTCTTGGGGAAGGGAGGGTTAAATGAGTAAGCCATTGAAAGTACTTGATGCTGTGCCTTGTGCATAAAAAGTACTCAGTTGATAGCCGCTAATATCATTGGTATGTAAAAACGACTACATGGCCTGGCCAATGTGGCTCGGTTGGCTGGGCATCATCCAGTGCACCAAGAAGCTGATGGTTCAATTCCCGGTCAGGGCACATGTCCAGGTTGTGAACCGATCTCCAGTAGGGGGTGCACAGGAGGCAGCTGATTGATGTCTCTCTCTCATCATTGTTTCCATCTCTCTCTCCCTTTCCCTTCCTCTCTAAAAGCAGTAAAAAAAACAACAAAAACCCTGACTACATATATAATACTGTGTTCATTAAAGGTGAAAGGTAACAGAAAAAGAATAGCACCTCATTTTTTACTCTATAAAAACAGTGTTGATGATTCAAGTTTCTGAATATCTCCCCTGTTCCCCCCCCCCCCAAACCAATTTTTTGCAGCTGTGAAGCCCGTCTTGGTTGCAAGTATGAAAAAGCTCAGGTATTTGTCACAGCAGTTTCCATTATCTGTAGGCTGCAAGGCAAAGTCGTTAGAAGACACATTTCACACCTGGAGTCTGAGGCTGCCTGCGGGGAGCTGCACTGAGGTGACACTGGAGCCCTGGATGGACACTGGGAGCAGCAGCTGAGCAGTGTGTGTGGTCAGCAAAGCCTGAGGCTGAGCGACAACAGCAGGCGGCGGCTGTCCCTGGGAACTCACATAAAACTGCGGGACGATGCTCTGCTGCTCTGCCTGGGCCACAGGGACCTCTTGCTTGATCACTACAGCCTTTTTGGCAACAATGGTCTGGGCACCCATAGAGACAGGCTGGCCTATAGCATGGCTGGCTCCCGGGACAGGCTGCCTGGGGCTGGAGCAGTCAGTGAGAGAGGTCTCGTCTTTAATGGAGGAGCCAACACTGCCATGTCTCTGTTCTGACTGACTGATAGAATTAGCTGGGGCACTGGGCTGGGGGTCCAGGGGCCGCCGCTGCTGCTGCTGCTGCTGCTGCTGCTGCTGCTGCTGCCCTCGTTTCTCAACCTCAAGTTGCATTTTCAGAACTTCCACAAGCTTCTGCTCTTGTTCCAGTTTCCTCTTTAGCTCTTCGATCTGCTTCTCTTTCTCCTGAAGCTTGCGGTCTTTCTCTGCAGCGTCCAGTTCCAGACTGGACAGAGTGCTGCTGGTGGGACTTAGGCTGTCTTCATTACTGGTCACTCTCAGTGGAGATGAACAAAGGAACTGTGACGGAGACATCATGGTCATGATCTCGGTGAACGTGTCGGCCATGTTTGTGTCCTCGGTGCTGAGACTGGACTGTTCGGAGGGAGATGGCGAGATTGGCAGAGGCGAATTGACGTTTTCCACGTGGGCCACATTGCTGGTTCCAGCAGGTGGCAGTTCTGCCTTGAGAGTGGAGCCCGAGCTAGCCACACAGTTATGCAGTGTGGTGACTGGCACTGCCCTGGCGACTTCTGGGTTACTGGTGGTGATGGCAGATGTTGACACTGCCACAGTGCCATCAGCAGCGACGCCGTTGCTGTTCATTTCCTGGTAGGGTTTCAGACGTTCGATAAGGTTCGGTTTGGTGCCTGACACTGGAAGACCCCTTAACTTCAGTTCTGTCTTCAGTTCCGATACCTGGAAGTACAAACAAATCAGTGTCCTCATCCGGCATTACAGCTCTCTGCACCTCTCCAGGCCCTGTGTGCCCAGGAAAGGTGCCTGCCTCTGTCAGCTCCACACTGCTGCACAGCCGGCAGCGGACAGTTTCTTCTTCTCCAGCACACACAACTACACACCTGGAGAATTCGCAAGGCCAGTGGTAACAAAGTAAGGGTTTTTAGAGGGTGATTCTTCTGTTATGTCAGAAAAAAGATTTACTATCAGAAATAATGGTAACAGCTACATTTATTGAGTAATTACTATGTGCCAGACACTGTTAAGTGCTTGCTTCTTTCAGTTAATCTTCACATGAGGTGTAGGTATTATCATTAGCCCCACTTTAAAGGTGAGGAGTTCGAGGCAAAGAGCAGTTGAATCACTAGTCCAAGCTACCACAGATAACAGAGGCTGAGCTGGGGTAGCAGCCCAGAGAGGCTGGCCCTGGAGAGCACATTCTTAACTGTTACACTTCCCTGCTTCCCCCCAACTTGGAAGTGAACAGGGAAGGAAAAAAATCTGCCTCTGGGGTCAGAACAGGTTGGTGCCAGCACGTAGTATATGCTCAATAAGTTAGAGTTATTACTGGTCATTACAGTAACATTGTAAAATAAACTTAATAGATGTAAAAGGAAAGTACCTCTATAAGGGTTATCATATTGTTGGTAAAGCTGAATGTCTACTGAAAACCACCTGCTATACAAATTTGGCAAATCATCTACACTTTTGTAGTACTTTGGATGAATACACTCCACTTGGAATGATCACCTTTAAGTCATCCAAGCTAGAAGGCAGAGGTCCCGGCTTCCTCACAGGAGCAGATGGATTCTGTCTTGGTGTGTTAGGTGTGGTATTGTTCAAAGATGAATTCCCACTGTTGTTATTTTTGTCATTGAGTGGCCTTCAAAAGAAAGAGAAGATTAGAGTTTATAGTAAAATAATTTCTGGATGACATGGCTTCTGCTAAATATTTGATTGTTAACTTAGGAGGAGAAAAATACATGGTCATGAATTGGAAGACTCAGTATGGTCAATATGTCAATCAAGTCAGGTCCCAATAAAAATCCCTTCAGGTCATGCTTGTTTGCTTGCTTTGTAGAAATCTCAGCTTTATATGGAAATGCAAAGGACCAAGAATAGCCATAGCATCCTGGAAGAAAAGCAAAGCTGGGAGAGCCACATCATCAGGTACCAACGTTTATTAGAGCCAGTTATTCAGATGTGGTGCTGGTGCAAGGACAGAACAGCAGACAGATCGAGACAATCAGAGAATGCAGAAACAGACCTCACACACGTTGACCCTTGAGTTATCACAAGGGTGACACACCCCTGCCGTTCCATTAAATGGTACTGAGCTACACTGGATATTCATACAGGGAAAAATGGTGCTCTTGGTTGACCCCTAACTCACATCATCCTCCAAAACCTAAATGAATTTTGAAAACAATAAAGCTTTTAGAAGATACTATCTTCATGGACTTTGGACAGAAAAGATTTCTTAAACAGGACACAAAAAACAGTAACAAAAAGGGACACCTTTAAGAGGGTGAAAAGTCAAGCCATAGGAGAAATATCTGTAATACATTTTTCTGACAAAGGCCTCATATCTACAGTATACAAAAGTCTTGCAAATCAGTAGTAGGAAAAAGACTGAAAACCCAATGGGAAAGTCTTGAATAAGCATGTCACAGGAAAGTATATTCAAATGGTCAATAAATAGGTGAACAAGGCCTTAACCTCAAGAGGTATGAGGAATATACAAATGAAAAGCACAACAGAATAGCACTGCACACCCAGAGGATCACTGGTATACCAAGACTGCTGATACCAACTACTTGGAACACCCAGAACTCTCCCAGACACACTCTCCCTGGCAGAACTGTGCACTTTGGAGAACTGTTTTATAGTATCTACAAAAACCCATGCCTATCCTCCCACCGACAATTCCATTCCTAGACAAGACACCTGACAGACAGACATTTGTCAGCCATGAGATGCAGGCTAGGGTATTTGTTATGGTGGATATTTATTTTTCATAACAGCCCCAATTGGAAGCAACCCAACTGTCCATCAAGAGTATGGTGGGTGGATAAATCACAGAATGTCAGACACCAATAAAAATGAACTGCTGCTGTTTGTACCAGTTAAGATGTGTCTCATAAACATGGTGTTGAGCAAAAGCCGCCAGACACAAATGTGTACATTTTAACCTAGGTGGTTACAGGGGGATGCTTACTTTGGCATCAGTTTTCACTTATGATTTAGGGATTTCTTCATATGTAAGTTATACTTCATTTTTAAAAGGTTATTAAAACATGTTGGTTAATCAGTCATCAAGTTCTGAAATTAGGTGCTCTTGTACTAATTTCCCTAAATGCCTGTCCACATCAAACTGAGGGCCCCCTAACTTCTTTTCACTGTGCTATTCCTGGCAACAATGGCATTTCCTGTTTTGGTGGCTGACGCCTATTAAAGAAAGGTGACATGATGGCTGACACTGTACAGTCAATTCTACTGCAGCCTGAGGCTTTACCGTCATATAAGCCTTTGTACGGAAGCCAGAGAGGCTCTGAATTCCACATGCTGAAATAGGGATCTGAGGACACCTATGGGGTGGGGTCCACAGTTGGACGAGCTTTCTCAAGTAAGTTTTAGGAAGCTATGTCTGAAGCCAGTTCTGGCCTTGTCAACAGCCAACTCTACATTCATTGGAGTCTTTAAAAATCTGCTTTAAATTTTGTTGAAGTTAAATACTTGAAGTATTTAAAATAAAGTTTCTTGAAGTTTGGATGAAATGACAAATATTTTCTGTTATTCTCTTTCTAAAAACATGTATTTTTGTTCTTGTTAATCCTCACCCAAGGATATTTTCCATTGATTTTTTTTCTTTATTGACTTCAGAGAGAGAGAGAGAGGGAGGGAGACAGAAACATCGATGAGAGAGAACACTGAGTAGCCACCTCCTTCATGCCCCCCACTGGGGATCAGGCCCACAACCTGGGCATGTGCCCTGACTGGTAATCGAACTGGCGACCTCTTGGTGCATTTCAACCACTGAACCACACTGGACAGGCTTTTCCATTGGTATTTTTAGAGAGACTGGGAGGGAGGGAGAGGGGGAGAGGGAGAGAAACATCAATGTGAGAAAGACTCATCGATTGTTTACCTCCCACATGACCCCAACTGGGGCTGGGGATCGAACTTATAACCCAGGCACATGCCCCTGACTGGAATCAAACCTGAGACCCTTCGGTCCTCAGGCTGATGCTCTAACCACTGAGAAAAACTGACCAGGGCTAACAATTTAACTTTTAAATCTTATTTTTGAATTATGAAAACATTTAAATTAGAGTTTCTCAGCCTTATATTCATTACTGTCCCTGCAAGGAGCCTTTTTAGACATTTTTTTCCTAATCACTCTCCCTGTGAAATTTTAATACCACAGATACACTGCATATCTGTGTATTATATGTGTGTATGTGCTTTATTAAATGAAAAGTGTAAGATTTCCTCACAACCAATTTGCTCCCTTGTGAATAAGATCATCTCCTTGAGTCCTATGCAGCTGTAAGAAAGAAAGATCTCTTATCCTTTGAGATGACATGGAGGGACCTGGAAAGTATTATCCTAAGCAAAACAAGCCAAGCAGAAAAAGACAAATACCACATGATCTAACTTATTTGCGGAATATAACAGTCTGAGGAATAGGGTAGACCCAGAGACATGGAAGTAGGGTTCAGACTGACAACCCTCAGAAGAGGGGGTGGTGGGGGGAGGGAGAAGATAAACCACAGAACTTATATGCATGTACGCATAACCAATGGACATGGACAACAAAACCGGGGATGGGGTGGGGGAGATGGGGAGGAGGGTGTCAATGGGGTAAAAAGGGAGAAACATCTGTAACAACAACAACAAAAAATGTTTAAAAAAAAAAATCTCCTTCAGAATGCATGATTTCAATGAATTATTCTATTCATGCTCTTTTTGGTTGAGATTCTACAATACTCTTGGTTATTATGATGAACAGTTAGTTCAGTTTAATTCAACCTTTAAAATAACGGAAATAAATTGATTTATTTTTTTTGCCTAAATCAAGAGGAAAAAAAGGGGGTGGGGAGGATGGCAAATGTGATCACTGTGTAGATGAGAAACTGAAGTTGAGAGAGAGGGTGTGACTTTCTAGGACCCTTCAGCCAGTGTGTGGCCATATTGGGACTACTGCCCTGTGTCTTCAGGCTCTTGCTCTTTCCCTGGTACCAAAGACTACGTTATCAAGAAAATCCCACTACTGTGGGCACTATAGGACTTCCACATTTAGTGTCTTATAATGGACTTTTGGTAAAAATAAAAAATAAAGTATATTAAAAACAATGTCTCCAGCCCCGGCTGGTTTGGCTAAGCAGTTAGAGCGTTGGCCTGTGGATCAAAGAGTCACGGGTTCGATTCCCAGTCAAGGGCACATATCTCGGTTGCGGTAACGTGGGAGGCCAAATGATGTGTCTCTCACATTGATGTTTCTCTTCCTCCCTCCCTCCCATTCTGTCTGGGAATCAATGGAAAAATATCCTGGGGTGAGGATTAACAACAAAACCTCTCCATTTTTAGGACCTGAAACTTAAACAGAACTGATGTTCGATCTTTGTGTGGTGAAATAACACTAAAAAATCAGTGGTCTTTCCTCCTCTTGGTTCCTGGATCTTTTTGTGTGACGTTTCCCATGGACAGGTTGGCTTGGCCACTTGAGTGGTGGGAATGTTTGAAGAGGATGGGGGAACTGAAGCCTTGATGGAAAGACAAAAAATGTTAGAGTTCAGAAATCCCACTCCTCAAATGTAGTCTTCCCATCTACAAAGCTAGACCCATGTAGCCAATTTCTTTCATTACAGGAAAGACTATTTCATAGCATACAAAAATCCTTTTATGGGGTTTCAGCTGAACAGTTTCCTCATCTGGGAATGGGGTCAATATTATCAATTCTTGCAGAGTAACTGTGTGGATGACAGTGATGTGAAGTGTTGAGCACACTGCTTGGGGCATCGTAAGGAGCATACAAACATGAGCCATGGTTGCTGTTATCATGGTGCCCGAAGAGGGCGGCGGCAGTGGGGAAGCCTCGCTGGGACCCGGACAAAGCTGTACAGCAGCAGCTGGTTGTTTCTGAAGCTCTTCCTGCTCTCTTGGCCTTCTTGGTCTCCTGCCAATGTCAACAGCTGTCTCAGGCCCACTTGCTCTTACAATAACAACACACTACAAGATTCTCCTGTGCCCTGATGTTGCAGATTTAAGTGCTTCACAGTAAGGTCTGAAGGACTGACTGGTCTAACCTTCCTGGATATATTTGGTTCTTCAAAGAAAACAGTGAATTGATCATTAGCATATGAGGAGACATTTCTTACAGAGAAGCTTTTTAGTGGGTCGTAATTGTTTTCTACTCCTAGGAAACAGGGGCTCCCTATGGAGGAATGCTTAGCCTGCGTGTAGAAAACGAGCCCAGTATCTACACATCATATGATTACAAACTGAGAGGTTTGATTGCAGAGAACACTTTTTCCTTTTATGAGATCTGATCTTTTTCTAGTTTTTTTTTTTTTCTCTCAAGTTGAATGTAAATATCCCTTTCTTCTAAAAAGTGAACAGGATGAAGGATAGGGGCTTTGCATATTTATCTGCCCAGAAAAAGCATACTAAGGATGTATAACTACTAGTACCCTTTATTACAGAATTACAACAAGTTATGGGTGTCTTACTATGGATTCAATCACAGAAACTGTCAGAACTCACTCCTTCTGTCCCTCCCAATTAGGCTCAAACTATGGAGACATGTTTCTTCTCCATGGCTATTGCTCACAAAGACCTTTTACTCAGTCTTCTGGAACATCTGTCCTCTCTCTGTTCCTTCCTTTCCATTATCAGTGCCCTGCCATCTTCTCACATGTACTTTATTGCAAAATTTTGAACTGTTTTTCCTATTTCCAAACTCCCCTTCAGTACTGGGATCAAACTTTTTTGTTGTTGTTGTTTTTAGTCCTCACCTGTGGATATTTTTCCATTGATTTTCAGATAAGTGGAAGGGGGGGGGGGGGGAGAGAGAAACATCAGTGTGAGAGAGACACATCGATTGGGTGCCTCCTGCATGCGCCTCTGACCAGGGCTGGGGACTGAACCTGCAACCCAGGTACGTGCCCTTGACTGGAAATCAAACCCACAACCTTTTGGTGTGAGGGCTAACGCTCTAACTGCTAAGCCAAACTGGCCAGTGTAGGATCAAACTATTCTTTCTTACAAGATTGGAGAGTTGGCCCAACTTCAAGTTCCTCCAGACACTGGATCTACTCAGTTCTCTCCTCCACTTTTCCTAAACACTAATGATATTTAACAGGCCATTTTTCTCACCATCCAATAAACTGGCATTGCCCTCTGCACCATCACTCACATCTTTCCCCTTTGCTTGGAGGGCCCTTCCCAAGTTTCAGGCCCTTTCTCACATATATATTCTGCTTTCTTCATAAAACTCTCCCTAAGCACTCCAGGCTTTATGGCCATGCTTTTTTTTTTTAATGGTTTATAACAGGTCTTATGCTTTTTTCGTACCATTTAAACTAGGCCAGTCTTTCTTGGATGAGTAATTGTGAAAAGTCACTTCTTACTTGAGAAACTCAGAACCTACTGTGGAAGACAAAAACTGGACTGGCATGCAGGCTATTCTCACCATGCTGACTTCAGACACTACGAGAAGCTTTGATGACAATAAAAGAAAATGGTCATTAAGCACAAATAAATCACAACATCCAACCTTCAGTAACTAATTGGTCCTCATAAAGAACCACAGAAAATCCACTTTAGAAGCCAGCACTGCCCCAGCCCGTACTTGAGTGGTGCAGGGAGGATGGTCTGGTAGTTGTAGTGTTGCTGCTGTTGGCTCAGGATCTGTAGCTGCAGGAACAGCTGTTGCTGCTGGAGCAGGCGGGCGTAGTTGGAGTCCAGCTGTGGCTCGCTCTTCTCACCTTTCTGGTCTGGTGGAATGTACTGGTGGTACTTCAACTTCTTTACCCGTGGTTTGGGGTCTTTGCATTTTTTGCTACGGTGCTTGTCATTCGGATTCTTGGGATGGCTTTGCTATATGTGAGAAAAGGGAATGAGAACATTTTAAGGGACAGCACCACATGCAGTCTATTTTACTGTGCCTCAAGGTCTGAAATGAAAAGCAACACAGCTTCGGAACTGGTAGAGCCACTGTGGAAAGCAATATACTAGATACATTTTGAGAGCCGGGAAAATGTCTGCATATTCCCTGGACCAAGAGATCTTGCTCCTAAGAACTGATTTTTCCTGTTGCCCCATCCTCTCAGACTACGGGGCAAGATGTTCAGCTTAGCATCATCCATTCAAATTCAACAACACTCACTCTGAGTCTTCTGTGTAGACATACGGCTAAGTGCTTACATATATTATCTCCTAGTGAAAAACAGGTCGTACATTAAATATATAATAGAAAAAGATTAAGTATATTTTGCTATACCTAGGTAATATTTTATAATTATTAAAAATCAATGGAGAAGATGCAAAAACAGAAACATGCTTGTAATGAGAATAAAGTGAAATTAAAGGCTATGTATTTCTATGGAAAATACACACAAAAAAATACTGAGTAATGTGAATGGGAGTTTTAAAACACTTTTTCAAAAATATTTTTTATTTTGAAAAGGGGTGTGAGACCCCATCTTCTGATTAAGATTCAGATGGCACTTTCCTGAGTTTTCTTTCTCTCTCCATTTATAAGTTATCGGATCACTTGCTGTTTTTTAGTGTTCATATTATAACTTTATCTGAAAAAAAAGTCCATCAACAAAACAATAAGGTATAAGAAATTATTCCTAAGCTTCCTTAGGTAAAATCCTCAATAAGACGACCTTGAGAAGTACTACATTAAATATGGTTATTGGGGTCATCATGTTATATATGTTCATATTCGAAGAATTAGGAAATGAAAAAACAAAACAAAAATAAAGATCAACATATTCTACAGACCAGAAATCATCACTATATTTACTTTTTACCCCCAGATATCCTCATGGCAACTCCCTCACCTCTTTTAGATCTCTGCCCACTCACTATTTAAAATAGCAACATCTCCCCTCATCTGCTCAGCAGCGGGTCCCCACTTTGTCTTCACTTGCACAGCTAGCCTACTGCTTTGCTGTCTGTCTACCCCCCACTCCTAACCCAGGTGGGGTAAGGTTTCCTCACTGCTTCATTGACTCTTGTTCCCAGAATGGTGCCTGGCACATAGAAGTGCTAGATAAGTATCTGCCGAGTAAATTAATGATAAATGTGTATGTATGCAATTAGAAATCATTCCAATTATCAGGCACTTAAAAAAATCACAATGTCAGAAAATATCCTTGCCTGTTAAAAATCCACCAATAATCTCACATTATTCATCAACTGTGATCTGCTGTGCTGTTACCAATAATATATTTTATTTCTAGACTTTTCAAACTGAGAATAACAATGAACGGGGTCTGGGTTCTGGAGGTGTGACTGTAACTGCTAGGTAATGGTAAAACAACTGACCAGCTGCCATCAGGAAGGGCCCTGTTGACAAGGGAGGGTACATAAACACCAGAACCAGTGTTCCTCAGACCAAACTTGCTATTACCTATCAGCCAGCATATGTCTGTTCTCAGGAAGTGAGGATGGAAAATAGCTTTCTTCATAGAAGAGGCCAAAGAATTGCCGTCTGTTTCCTAATATGTACCGTCCTTTCTTCCACTGGCATAGTCCTAGGATCCCTCCCCAACCCCTGAATCTCACATTCTTACACAATGCCTCTTGCCTTAGAACCAAGGCCCTCCTTAAAGAGACACCAGTGAAGAGCAGAATTCCGAAGATTAGGAGAAGCAGAGAACAAATTCTCATATCTGCAGGGAAAGATGGGTTGGCATGCTCTTTGTGCCATTAGTGGTACATACTTGGGATGTGGGGAGAGGCGGTAAGAGCTGATTTTACTGAAACAGTTGCCACTTGGCACCCTCTGGAATTTCTGGCTCCAATACTACGCTGTGGAAGATGGTGAAATAGACTGCTATATGCCCTTGAAGCCACACACACTTGGCCAGGCTGACAAAGAGAGCCAGGAGTAGAAACAGAACCTTCTGTCCAGGAAGGTCAAGGACAAGGACGAGCCCCAGAGACAGATGGAGATGCAGACTCTGCACCAGGCTAACTGCCTGTGAGGAGTCCTGCAGAAAGAAGGCTGGCTTGGAACTCAGAGACTGTGTCTTTTCTGGCCTGGTCACTTCTTCACTTCTTTGGGCCTCAGTCTGCCCATCTGAAAGGTGGCGAGAAGGTCAGCTAGCTCTCTCACGTCCTTTTTTAGTTTGAGATCTGTGTTCTGTTAGTTTTGGCAAAAGCCACATCTGAAATGATTAAACTTTTCCGCAGGTTATTCACCCACCCCCCTTTGTTTAGCAGTTTTAATACACTTCAAAAAACTTTAAAAATGTACTATATATTACAAAGTTTAATCTTCTTTGGGACTTATTCTAACTGAATTATTTTGACTGAGTAAAATGCAGGGAACAGTGCCACAAATCTGCAGCTTATCTGAAGAATAAACCAAGCTTCATTAGGCCAGATCTGCTAAATCAAAAAAACATATTTGCTTCTATAAAACCTTTAACCTATCATGTAATATATCTGGAATACCACTGAGTTTAATCTTATGCAGAAAGGCCAAAATCATGTTACCATTAAAGACATCTGTCTGTGAGATTCGGGATTCTTGCGTGCGTGTGAAAGCACTTCCATCCACCCTACTTCCCCTTGTTGTGACTTCAGGGCCTGGATGGGAGCATCCAGGGCACTGCTGACAGAATGATCCCTACAACATTTCTCACTGATCCAGTAGTTTCATGCTGTTCTGTGCCCACAGAACAATAGGTCATGTGTTAAAGGTGGAAGTTTCAACTACTAAGGCCTGGTCTAGCAAGTCCTTCCACGGTTTTGTTTTCAAGGCTTCAGGCTAAAAAGCAGGTTGGGCAACGTGGACACATGCCTTTGTCTTCCACATGTAGGCTACAGAGAAAAGTCACAAGTAGAGACACTCAACCCAGTGTGCATGCGGGGTACCCACCTTTACCAGTGCTGGCCCAGTCTTTGCTGAGGACACAGTGTTTGTGGGGAGCACAGGAGCTGTGGACCTTGTGGGGGGCTGATCTGTAGTAGTAGGAGTTTTCAAGAATTCAGGAACTGCTGGAGACACTGTGGTAAACTGACGGAAAAGGCAGAAAGGGAACAAGTCTGTGAAATCAATGACAGTAAAAATAGAAAAACCAGAATTATAAGGGAGTGACCTAATTTAAAAAAAAACTACTGGAAAAGAAACAAAAGGAAAGTATTCTATTATGTCTGAGACCCAGATGGAGGAATAACATACATGCCTTACCTCCATGAAACCAATTATTCACTCTCTGCCCCAATAGTACTGAAAAGCTAATACTAAATAGGGTTAGATTAACTAAACTGTAGTGTTTTCTCAGGAATATGGTCAGAACCACCCTTTTTTGGCAGATTAAAAAAGTACAAGACTCTTGTAAAAATCATCAAAACAATACACGGTATTCATATTAAGGTTTTCTTGCCATACAGGTCACACTAATCCGGGCTAATTCAAATGTCATCTTTAGTCTTCGTTACAGGGCCTGATGAGCCCTCTACCACACCCAGACCCACGGCTGGGTGGCACCTGGGAGAGAGCTTCTCTCCCTCAGGCCTACTCCGTGCTCGTGTCCCTGAATATGCCTCATTGCTTATGCTCCTACCTCCAAACCGGGCTGGTGCTCGTCAGCCCTTCCCCCATTATTGCAAAGAAGGGAATATGAAGACTTTGTTCTGGTAAGATTGGCCTGTTTTCACTGACAGTACCCCCACACTTTAAGCAAGAAGCTAATCTGTTACTTGGGTAATTACTCATCTCAATTTGGAATCATATATTAACAAAGGAAACTACAGAAGGCTTTGTTAGGTTTTTATCAACCACCTAACCTATTCCCACTAGTAATCTACTTTAAGTATTCATTTACTGGAAAGAGATATTACTATTACAATAAATCAATTACGTGTGTTGCCTATTGATTACTACTTGGACTTACTATTACCAGCCTTATCTTAAGGAAAAATGCCTTTCTTTATCCTTACAGCTCTTTGAACAACTCTCAAATTCATTACAACAATCAAATTCAGGTCTCTTGTTGAAGATTTGGGTTTAAAAATAGCAAATTGTATTTTCTCTCCTTAAAATAAATGACCTGAAAAGTCAGAGGGCTATTAGCTGCAAGAAATATGAAGCTTGGCGCATACTAGTTACTCAATAAATATTTGTTTAATGGATGAATGGACATTCCGGGTGGCTTTATTCAGGCTGGGTCACACTCTCAAGCCTGCTGAGACGGTATGTGTGTGAGCGTGCAATTAATTGCATGTGCCTGTGTCAGCTCTGAGGTTTTTTATTTTGCCATTGATTTCAGCTTTTAATTATCAGTAACTGTAAGTACTGACGATATAAAACTTGACTTTAAAAAATGGCTACACTCAATTTCATTCGCAAACAGAAGGGAAAGGAAGAACTTATCCAAAGGTTTTGACACCTGTGTTCAGGCTGACTTCTGCCCCCAGATGGCCCTGCGACAGCCAGCTCCTCAGTGAACCTCTGACATGAAGTGAAAGATGATGGCCAGGTGATCACTGCTTTAAGGGGTAGGGTTTTATGTTATTTGTTTTCCTTTCATTTTGTACATTTTTGGGAAATAATACTTATCTCTGGGTCAATTTTCACACAGGGGCAAAACATTCCTTAGCTATTAAATAACTGGCATACGGAACAGTATCAGATATTTGAATTTTAAAATATATAGTTCCTTGCAGATAAATTCTACTAACCTGGCAAGCTATTTTTCCAGTCCAGACCCGACTGGCTGATTTGACAGTAATGATGCATTTGAGAGCAGTCAGTTTAAATAATCTGACAAATAACCCAGGAGCACGAATGTGGTATTAACTGTAATATTTATGAAAACGTTTTGCCTGTATTTCTAGATCCTGCCTCACTGACTTCAGCCTTGATTACTGGTATCCCATCTTCATAGCTCTTCTGGTATTTCAGTGTGACTTCAACATCTGGAAAACCACAGACTCCAGCAGAACACAAGAATAACTCAACTGAGATACCTGCTGGTATTAACTTTCCTAATCTAAAATGAATTCTGGTTAAAAAGGGAGAAATATCTAAACTGCTTTACATTTTGCCAGTCTTCTTCATGTGACTTAGAAATGACCCTCCAAAAACCCTTGGATCATATCTAGATGTTAGGATCCTAGTGGCTTAAGTTACAAAAAACACACCAAACTCTAGATGTTAATGCTTCTGAAATGACAGTATTCCAAAAAGGATTAAAAGGATATCCAAATAATAAAACTACTATACTTATTTTATTTCACAGGAGATTGAGCAATATGTTAAAATCTTAACTGAGACCTAAGTTCACCTTATGTATTACCAAAATTTAATCTCAAAATGATTCAGAATCTTTTCTCCAAAGAAACAAAAAAGCTGCAAACTTTGCTTTTTTTCCTGGACCTAATCATTGTTCTCATCACAAGTTATATGTCTCATGACTACTAGTTCTTTGTCATCATAACATCATGAAAGGAAATGTCAGGAAAACACTGTTGTTTAACTATGGATATTTATGATTTAAATAAAACTTAAAAGAAAGAACTTCCAATCTTACAGACTGACTTTTCTCTTATTAGAAACTGCTGTGAGAAAGTACTGATACATAAGAAAAAAAACAGAGCAAATGTTTAAGCTGACTAAAGTGCCCTAACATTTCAGGGCTCTGCACTGGTTCCTTCTGAAAAGATGACATGCTTGCCAAGGACCAATCACTGTTTTCTGGTAAGTTCCTTTTTTATTAGAATTTCTTTATGCAATTTAAAGGGACAGAAACTAGATCATTAAAAACAAAGGCGCTTTTTTTTTTTGTATTGATTTAAACTCTATAATAAATGTTTTAAATTTAGAATGCAGCTGAGATCTTATTACGATGGCAATATGGAAATAAATTCAAAATGCAACTATTTAAAAAATATTGTTTCCATATTCCAATCCCTAGACAAATAAAATGAACACTAGTCTATGAACGAGTTGAATATAAATAAAAAACATGTGCTTTGTATATTTAATAGATGGACATTTTATGCTTACGTTTAAACATTTCATTTTTAGAACATACAGTTGAATACTACAAGTGAATTAATCTGCCTGGACAGTGTGACTCAGTGGTTGAGCATCGACCCATGTACCAAGAGGTCGCTGGTTTGGTAACTGGTCAGGGCATATGCTCAGGTTGTGGGTCCGATCCCTGGTGGGGGGCATACAGGAGGTGGCCAATCGATGTTCTCTCTCATCGATGTTTCTCTCTCTCTCTCTCTCTCATTTCCCCTCTAAAATCAATAAATAAAAAATATTTTTAAAAAAAACTGTGAATTAATTCGTTAGCATAATTGTTACTTGATTTCCTGATTAGTAGTGAGGATTTGCATGTATTACCCTCATTTAAAAAAATCTATTTTTAAAATAAATTGTGGTAAAATATACATAACATAAAAATTCCCATTTAAATCATTGAAAGTGGACAGTTCTGTGGACTTAAGTACATTCACATTGTTCTACAGCCATCACCACCACCCATCTCCAGAACTTTTACTGAAACTCTACCCATTAAACAACTCCCCCGTCTCCTCTCCCCCCAGCTCCTGGCAACCATCATTTACTTTATGTCTATATGAATTTGACTCTTCTTGGTACCTCATGTAAGTGGACTCCTACAACATTTTTCATTTTGTGGCTAGCTTATTTCACTTCATATAATGTCCTCAATGTTCATCCATGCTGTAGCATGTATCAGGTTTTCCTTTTTTTTTTAAGGCTGAAAAATATTCCATTGTGTGTATAAATCATATTTTATCCATTCATTTGTTGATGGATGGACAACACATGGGTTGCTTCTGCCTTTGGTTATTGTGGACAGTGCTGCTATAAACATGGGTGTACAGATACCTGTTCCAGTGCCTGCTTTCAATTCTTTTGGGCATATACCCAGAAGTGGGATTGCTGGATCATACGGTCATTCTATTTTTAAATTTCAAATATACTGCTATACCATTTTCTATAGTGGTTACACCATTTCACAGTCTCACCAACAGTGCACAAGGGTCCCAGTTTCTCCACATCCTGTTGACCCTTGTTAATTTATGTTCTTTTGGTAGTTGCCATTTTAATGGTGTGAGGTGAGATATCTCGCTGTGATTTTGATTTGCATTTTTTTAGTGATTAGTGATATTGAGCACCTTTTCATATGCTTATTGGCCATACATTTATCTTCTCTAGAGAATGTCTATTCTAGTCCTTTTTTTAAATCATGGTTTTTGTTGTTGAGTTGTGGGAGTACTTTATATATTCTGAATATTAACCCCTTATCAGATATGTGATTTGCAAATATTTTCTCATTCTGTGGGTTGCTTTTCACTCTGTTGATATTATCATTTGATGAACAGAAGTTTTTAATTTTGATGAAACCTAATTATTTTTTTGTTGCCTTGGTGTCATATCCAAGAAATTATTGCCAAATCCAGTATCATAAAGCTTTACCCTATGTTTTCTTCTAAGTGTTTTATAGTTTTAGCTCTTATGTTTAGGTCTTTGTCCATTATTATGTTTTTGTTCACCCAAGGATATTTTTCCATTGCTTTTTAAAAATATGTTTTCTTATTAATTTTTGAGAGAGAGAGGAAGGGAGAGAGAGAGAGAGAGAGAAATATCGATGTGAGAGAGAAATATGGATCAGCTGCCTCCTTCATGCCCCCTACTGGGGATCGAGTCTGCAACCTGGGCATGTGCCCTGACTGGGAATCCAACCTGGACCTCTCAGCCCCTGGGACAATGCTCAATCCACTGAGCCAAACAGGCTGCGTTTTTGTTTTTGTTTTTTTATCCTCACCTGAGGACATTTTTGCATTAATCTTAAGATACAGCAAGAGGGAGAGAGGGAGGAAGAGAGAGAAGCTACATCGATGTGAGAAAGACACATTGACTGGCTGCCACCCACACAACCCCAACAGGGGCTGGCGACAAACTGCAACAGAGGGACATACCCTTAGCAGGAACTGAACCCGGGTCTCTCTGGACCACGGGCTGATGCTCTTAACCGCTGAGCCAAACCAGCCAGGGCGAGGCTGGTTTTTTTTTTTTTTACACTGATTTTTTTTTTTAGAGAAAGTGGAAGGGAAGTGGGGAGGGGAAGAGAGAGAGAGAGAAACACCAATGTGAGAGAGACACATCAATTGGTTTCTTCCCACACAAGCCCCAACCAAGGCCAGTGATCGAACCTGCAACCCAGGTATGTGCCTTTAACTGGGAATCGAACCCATAACCCTCCATTTATGTGTTTAATTTTTTGTAGCAACACCTTTCTCATTTCCTTTGCGTATTTATTTTGTGGTTACCATGGGGATTACATGTAACATCCTAAAGCTGTGACATCTATCTTATATTGATACCAACTGCAGTTACATAAAAACTTTACAGCTAGCTATGTCCCCCCACTTTGTATTACTGATTCACAAACTACACTATTATATATCATGTAACTATTGATATAGACTTAAAATTGTTTTGGGCGTTTGTTGCTTAAACCATGTAAATAAAAAGTGGAGTTACAGAAAAAATTACACCCCAGGTGTCTGTAGGTCTGCAGTCCCTCAATAGTTTCACATGCCACGGCTTTTGCTAGCCTGAGATCCAAACCATGTACTTTTCCCTGAGTTCTGAGTCAGACAAGACAGAAACCAGTCTCTTAGCCCACAGACAGGCCGGATTGCTGCAAACAAATTCTGCTCTGCTCCTTCCATCCTGAGGGAGGGAACCGGTTATTGGGCCACTTTTTTCTGCCTATGCCATGCTGGGAGGGATGGGCAAAGGTGTGTAAAAATGCCATGACATTTTCTACCTTTTTGAATGTGTTTTTTTTTTAATTTTTTTATTGGGTGTTGGTTTGGTTGGTAGAGATCGCTGCCTGGTTTCCAGAGCTTTTATAAAGTTTTTTTTAGTCAGTCTTTAGTTGATTTGATGATTCTGTGGGAGAATAAGAGCCTAGACCTTTCTACTCTGCCATAGTGTTTATAGTGAGATTTTCTGTCAATTGTGAGACCGTGTTAAGTGTGTAAATACATGCACAAAAATATAAAATGTATTTAAGTACTTCTATTTTTTTAAACTTATCTTTATTGTTGAATGTATTACAGATGTTCCTCATTTTACCTCATTGACCCCCTCCTCCCCACTCCTGCTCTCCTCCTGCCTTTCCTCACACTGTTGTCTGTGTCCATTGGTTATGCATATAAGTTCTTTGGTTTATTTCTTCCCACCCCCCAACCCCTTTTCCTTTGAGGTTTGTCAGTCTAGCGATGAATTTGTACTTCTTAATCCCTTCACCTTTTTCACCCATTCTCCCAACCCCCTTCCCATCTGGCAACCAACAAAATGTTCTCTGTATCTATGAGAATGTTTCTCTTCTACCTGTTCATTTTGTTTGTAGATTCCATTGTCAATAGATATGTATTCACTGCCATTTTGTTTGTTCATATTTTTTATCTTTTTCTTTAGGAAGACCCTTCAACATTTCATATAATAATGGTTTGGTGGTGATGAACTCCTTTAATTTTTCCTTGTCTGGAAAACTATTATCTGTGCATCGATTCTAAATGACAGCTTTGCAGGATAGAGTAATCTTGGTTGCAGGTTCTTGCTTTTCTTCACTCTGAATATTTCTTGCCATTCCCTTCTGGCCTGCAAAGTGTCTTTTGAGAAATCAGCTGACAGTCTTATGGGAACTCCCTTGTAGGTAACTAACTGCTTTTCTCTTGCTGCTTTTAAGATTCTCTCTTTGTCTTGAACCTTGTGTGTTTTGATGATGATGTGTCTTGGTGTGGGCCTCTTGGAGTTTATCTTGTTTGGGGGCTCTGTGCTTCCTGGACTTGTATGTCTGTTTTCTTCACCAAGTTAGGGAAGTTTTCTGCCATTATCGTTTCAAATAGGTTTTCAATTTCTTGTTCTCTCTCTTCTCCTTCTGACAACTCCAAGATGCAAACGTTGGCACGCTTAAAGTTGTCCCAGAGGCTCCTTACACTATCCTCATTTTTTTAGCTTCTTTTTTCTTTTTGCTGTTCTGATTGGGTGTTTTTGCTTCCTTATATTCCAAATTGATGGTTTTCTTCTTGGCTTTACCTACTTTACTATTGAATCTGTGTAAATTATTCTGTATTTCACTTAGTGCCTCCTTCATTTCTGACTGGTCCTTTTTTATGTTCTCAAGGCCCTCACTAAGTTCACTGAGGTTCTCACTAAGTTCACTGAGCATCCTTATAAGCAGTGTTTTGAACTCAGCATCTGTTAGGTTGCTTATCTCCATTTCACTTAGTTCTTTTCTTGGTGTTTTGTTCTGTTCTTTCATTTGGGACCTGTTTCTTTGTCTCCTCATTTTGGCTGCCTCCCTGTGTTTGTTTCTGTGTATTACATAATGAGCGGTATGGGGCTAGCTGAGACCAGATGCTGCTTGTTTGAAAGAATTTAAGAAAACCTGAGGCAGCTTCCAAGACAGGCCAATTCTATGGTAAAGCAACTGGCAACAGCTTGAGTAGACCTGAAAGTTGGGTGGGGCGGGGCCTCTGGGAGTCACCAGGGCGGGGCAACCAGTGTGAGCCAGGTTGCTGGAGTCCCAGATATGGCGGCAGGGAAGGGCTCACCAAAGGCCTCTGACAGCACATCTGTCCAGGAGAAAGCTGCCTTTCCAGCCCTCGCTCCAGTGCCAAACAACTCAGTTCTTCCCTGTATGTCTCTGGTGCCCCTCGAGCTGCCTCCCCTCCAAGCTTAAAGGGAGTGAGTCTGAATAAGTCCGTGCGCGGGTCCTTTAAGAGGAGTTGCCTGGGGCTCCAGCTGCCTCAGCCTCCCTGAGCCTCCGTTCCCGCTGGTTTTTCCAGCCAGAAGTTATGGGGACTTCTCTTCCTGGCACTGGAACCCTGAGCGGGGTGGCTGGTGTAAGATGGGGACCCCTCAGTCCTCCTAATTCTTATCTACCGCACGTGGGTGTGGGACCAGCCCCTCTGCTTCCGCCCCTCCTACCAGTCTGGATGTGGCTGCTTCTTTAATTTCGTAGTTGTAGGACTTCCATTCAGCTTGATTTCAGGCGGTTTTGAATGATGGTTGTTCTGTAGTTTAGTTGTAACTTTGATGTGGTTGTGGGAGGA